TCGTAAATCTTCAAAATGAAGTATGATGAGCGTCTGTATGAAAGTTTTAGTAAAAAGAAAAAAAATTGTTAGATTTTTGTGGTGGAGTTTTGATAATATAATTACACCTGAGCAGTGATTTTTCTGGGTAGTTATATTTTTATTTTTCCAAAAGTATTTTGAACGGTATTTTTAGGAGGATCTTGACAAACAGTTATTGGATGTTGGTCCTGCTGTATCAACGTTGCCTGAACCTCCTACTACAGAACTTCCAACCTCTGCTAAAAAAGTTCCGGCAAAGAAGCAACAAGAGGATGAAGATCTTGCCGAGTTAGAGGCTTGGGCAAATGCGTAGGCTTTAGGGCACTGAATCTATTTTGCAATTCTTCATATAGTCAGAGCCCCGGATATATTTCATCTGTATATTCTTTTTCTTCTGATTTTACCAGTTAGTCATTTTTAATGGCTGCCAAGGACTTTAAATTTTTTGACGTTTTTGATCTTAAGTTTGTAAAAGTGATTATTTTTTTTAGTTTGTCATAACTTGAAATTATTTATTGCTGAGTTGCTTATCCCAATGTTGATCTTGCAGAAATTTTAAAGGTGTTTTAGAGATTGAAATGATTATTACCATAAGAAAGTTTTTTATCCTTAACACACGTAATAAATTTTGTTTTTTATTTGCTTGTTCAATCTTGGCTTGTTGTATTGTAAGGTGTAAAAACTTTCGCCGTATTGTGTACAAAGAGAAAATCTTTTCTAGATTTTTGTAACTTGAATAAACGGTTCCTACTGGTTTCAAACTATTGAAATGTAGAGATTTAGTTGAGTGTATTTGTTTGTTTCATTGAACACAGAAGAGAACAGGACAAATAAAGTAAGTGGAAGTGTCAGGCGGTGTCTGGTTCGAGCTAGGGTAGTCTTTCGTTGGTTGAATTTCTGGATTTAACGGTAACTGACTGCAAGTGCCTGTGCAGTTTAAGTTTTGGGTGATAGACACGGAAGATCTATAATTTACGCATTACAGTTTTCCCTCAGTTCGGCAGGCAGCATGTTGGGCTTGGGGCGTATTTCTGCTCGTAAATTTTTTTTGCACGATCATTTTGTAATACGTGATTTTCAGGAAGTGTTGCCGCTTATGGAGCTGGCAGCTAATCCTGCGCACACTTCTCTTATAGGTATATGTGACTGTAGGGTCGAAGTTTTAGTTTGAACAGCTGTACTGACACGCAAAGTATCGGATAAATGATAACATTTTTCATAATCAATCTAAAATTTATTTGTAACGTTTGAAGTGTTTTGCGATTGCCTGGAACTTCAAAGGACTACGTAAATAATTGGTTCTTTTTTTTTTTATCTTATCGCGTCCTCTCACCTCACTCACGTTCTCCTGAGATCACCGATTAAAACTTGTGATGTAATACTGATACTTGTCGACCGCCAGTTGTGCTAAAACCTATGAACATTTCGTTCCAAAGATTTAGCAGTTTTGAATGAAATCTAACATTCAGAAATTTGAATCAATTGAATATTGATTAGTTTCTAGAAATTTGAAAACATTGCATAACTTTTTGAGAATATTTTCCTGAAACTGCATCGCTGAGAGGTCAAGAAGTTATAGTAAAGCATCTAATGTAAGGATCTAGAAGGAGGCTTTGATTGTGTAGAATGCAGAATTTAGTAGGTTCATTGTTAGTGAGGTGAAAAGCGTCTGTTATTTTGTTAAGTTTGATCCGCTCAATACAATGATAGAAATTTTGGTAATTGGTGGGACCAAAGTTTAAGATGCTGAAACATATTTAATGTTGTGGAATGCTCATCTTCTGCTTTCTTGAACGTTTCAACAGCTTGGTATAAGATTTCCAGGAGTAAGATGTTTCTGAATCTGTGGCACCAAGTACTGCGACATTTTAATGTTTGCATGCACCTAATGCTGAATGACTGGAAGATGTTGGAGGCCAGTTTGGAGATTTTTTATTTCTGGATTTTAACGGTCTGATAACTAAACAATGATATAGGTAACATCAGTTGTTGTAAATAAATATCGCTAAGCAACGTTTCAGTTTATTTGACCATATAGACAAAATAAATTACTGCATTGTTGTAACTTTTTTCTCTTCTAAAGCAAAGTAAAAAAAAAAGACAGGTAAAAGAATAGGTTTCTTAATCTTAGCTATCTTTCCTTGCTTTTCAAAATATTTCAGTGGAAAAAATTATTTTTCTTTCTTCATCTTCTTCTTCTTCGTCTCATAATTAACAACTGCTTTAATGGACTGAATAAGCGGAAAAGGACGTGCATCAAAGTTTTGTTGTCGTTGTTCAAGAATATTGCTGTTTGGGCTAATTAACAGATTTGGTAGAGCAGATGTCATTGATAATTTGGCGATTTGTCAGTCTATAAAAATGTCAATTTAACAAAAATAACAACATATTTTAAATTTTTAAAAGTAAAGTATTTTAAAAAAAAAAAGTCCAGGAAACAGTTTTCTGCCATTTTTTTTTTTTGAAAGGGTACTTTCTTAGGTTTTAGGCTTTTCATTTATAAGCAACAAAAAAAGTTGGCCTAATTGCTACAGAAAAAAAAAAAAA